TGTATATATACATACATACATACATACATACATATATACACACATATATAAATACATATAAATACGCATAATCCGCGTTTCCCCGGATACTCCCTCACAGTATATTCAGGCGTCGCGCAGTCGACACTCAGGAATCGCGATGTCGCTTGGGATTTCCTCGCAATTGTTTCGGGCGCCGCGCCCTCGACACTCAGATATCACGCTCTCGTTTTGGATTGGTTCACGAAGTCTATTTTGGAATCGTTCTGTCGTTCAAGGCCTCCTCGTGATTCATGCAAGACGCACGCTTCAGCAACCCGCCTGCTCGACCTGGCCGCCTGGGCCCGCCTGTTGGGGTCTACCCGCCCGATCTGCCTTTCTGGTTTTGCCACGTGCTCTCTGCTCCCAGCCCCTTCCTGCTGCTTTCTCTCGTGTTTCATTATCCTCTCTTCCCCTTGTCGCTTCCTTCCATCAGTCCTCTTTTCCCCTGCCTCAAGGGCTGCGCGAAATACACGTTGCAGGTAATAATGGTACTCCCAAAAACTGATGCGCTCGGAGACGAAAAAGGCGGGCATCGAGGGTTTGGGAAAAGCGTGTGCGAGCAGGTAAGAGCGACGCGAACACTATGACAATGATTGGTTTGTTTCGTTTGTTTTTCAAGTTGACGTCAAAAATCGGTATTGTTGCTCCCCTCCTTGATAAAACATGAAGTTTTCCATCCACGTGTTTCTCGCGGGGCTCGCATCCCGTTTCTCGCAGTGGAAAGCGAAGCATCACCAAACTGCGCCCCTGGCCGCCGATTGACAACAACGGCATCTCCCGCCCAATATTTCCGCACAACTTGTTTCCGAATCGCACTCTTGCGCGGGACTGCCGCACGATGCGCACAGGAATCGCGTTTTCGCGCGGAGCCCCTCCAATGCAAACAAACGCCGCGCCCTCGACGATCAGGAATCGAGCTCTCGCTGGGGATTCCCCACCATTCATTTGGGAATCGCGCTGTCGCTAACGACTTTTTCGCGATCCATGCAGGGCGCGCGCTTCCACGACCCGTTTGCCCCTTGTCCTTTCGATCCGTCCGCACGCGTCGCAGGTAAGCAAGTCTTTCTGACCAGCGGCGCGTATCTCGCGCAGCTAAACGGGGGCGATCGAAGACAAAGAGGACGGGCGTCGAGCTTAGGGGCGCGCGCGTTGAATCGCACGCGCGCGCATGAAGGCGGGCAGTCTAAAAATATGTGTTGCTGGCGTTGCAGCAGTAGTGGTTGTCGTCGTCGTCGGCGGCGTTGCTGTTGCTGCTGTTGTCGGCGGCGTCGTTGACGCTGTCGATGTTGATTTTTATTGTTTATTTATTTGCAAAACGCTTGTTATGGCTGGACACCCTGAGTGCGCTATCGCGATCTCGTTTAGGCGCAAGCTGCGCTTCCCTCGAAAAACCAAGGTTGCGCCCGGGCGTTTCAGGCTTCCGCCGAACCCGGCCCCCCGAGAGCGACAACGGCCCGGCCCGATACTTGTTCTTTCTCACTCGGGGCCGGGGTTCTCGCTCGCCACCGAAAGCCACCTGTCCAACAAGATCAGGGCCCCCACTCGACGCGCCCTTGCTTCTCGCTTCAGGACCGGCGCCCCCGCCTCGGGCCCCCCGCCACGGAACGACGACCCCGCTCGATATTCTTATGTTTACTCTAGATTTCCTGAGGCTTCCCTGCTCCCTGTTGAACTTGAATTACTAAGTACTTACTATTGTTGGACACCCTGAATTCGATTTCGCGATCTCGCGCCTGCCCCTCGCGACCTCGTTCCCGCTCGTGTCCCGGGGCGCGGCGTCGTCGCCGTCGTCGTCGCCGCCGCCGCCGTCGTCGTCGTCGTCGTCGTCGTCGCTGTCGCCCCTGAATGCGCTTTCGCACTCTCGCGCCTGCTCCGAGCGACCTCGCTCTCGCTCGTGTCCTGGGCCGTGGCGTCGTCTCCGTCGTCGTCGTCGCCGCCGCCGTCGTCGTCGTCGTCGCGCTCTGGAGATCGTCGGGGGCCTCCTGGAACTCCTGGAAACCCACAGGACCAGGGGCTTGTTTCGAGGAGGAGCGCAGGAAGGAGGAGGCGGAGGAGGAAGAGGAGGAGGAGGAGGACGACAACGAGCCCCGCGCCATCAGAAAGCGGCCGACGCACAAAAGGTCCCCAGGGGTCGACAGCCTAGGGGCTTAATCTCTGAAGTTTGTCTCACAAAGGCTCTGGAAACTCTTCACGGAGCTCTGTCAGAGGTTGCGCGGCCTCTCCCTGAGGTCCTCAGCCACTCAGGCGGCGTGACTCCTAGAAGGCAGGCCTGGGTCGGGGGATTGCGAAGGCGATGTGCCATCCGGGCTGGAAGTGCTGAAATGCCTCGGAAGCGGTGTTGTCAAGACCCCCCGGCGGGAGATCAGTGAGAGGGGATATCAGACCCCCGCGTGCAAGAAAAATCCCCCATCAAGGGGAAGCTATCATGATGGATGCACGCTGCATATAAAAGCACTTAGTATTCGGGTAGCATGATTGTTGTTGTTGCTGCTGGTGGTGGTGTTGTTGTTGTCGTGGTCCCACCTGCGACCCACCCGCGACCAACCCTGCGCCCGCCCCCTCACTCTTTTCCGCAACCGCGGTGTACTACGCAGTTCAGCCTTGTACGATCGGCGGCCTTCAGATCGCTCAATCGTTCCATGATGGCCGACCCCGGGCGTTCAGCGGCGCTCACCTCCAGTGCCCGCGGCGGGTTCGCCGTCGCGTCGACACGAAGCGAGCCTCTCATGCCCCGATCGGCTCTGGAATATGTCGGACTGCGCCACCGCGCCGCGAGGCACGAAGTGGAACGCAAGCCGGCAGGAGGCCCCAGAGGGCCCTGCAAATGGGCCCAAGGAGGCCCAAGGGGCCTCTTTGGGGGAGCCCACGGCCAGGCACGGTGGCGGCATGGGCCGATGGCAGCCGCGCACATACGCGCATTCGGCAGGCAGGCGAGTACATCGACAGGTCGCGTCTCGGCGGCGGCGGGTGGACCCGCAGATGTGGCCCCTGCCGGCGGCGCGGCCGTCGCCTGCAGTGGAGGCTGCCCCGGGAGCTCGCCGCAGCTGCGTGACCTCGCCGCCGCTGGGCGGCACTGCGACTGCGTCGCAAGGCGGCACTCGGACGGGCCGGAATCGCCGGGCAAGCCCACCGCCCTCGGGCCATGTCCCCCCCTTCGTGTCCCCCCTTCAATTTCCTATTCGTACTCCTCGTGCTCCTCCCCTCCTCCTCCTCCTCCTCCTCCTCCTCCTCCTCCTCCTCCACCTCCTCCCCCTCCTCCTCCTCCTCCTCTTCCCCCTCCTCCTCCCCCTCCTCCTCCCCCTCCTCCTCCCCTCCTCCTTCGCCCTCTCCTGCTCCTCCCCCTCCTCATCCTCCTGCTCCTCCTGCTCATCCCCCTCTTCTTCTCTTTCCTCCTGCTCCTCCTCTTCCACCTCCTCCTCCTCCTCTTTCTCCTCCTCTTTCTCCTCCTCCTCCTCCTCCTCCTCTTCTTCCTCCTCCTCCTCCCTCCCTCTCCCCCTCCTCCTCCGCGCTCAATTTTCTTTATAAGCAATGACTCCTTGTCGCAACCCCAGACGTGTCTGTAAGGCGGGCTGGGCGTTTCGCCTGAGACTTCCTCGCCATGTACGATCCTGAAACCTGATCTTTGCAACAGTTTCACGGAAGGGTCATTTACAAAATTTAGCTATCGAGTCAGCGCCGCGCCGATTCGTTTCAAAGTATGCACCAGATTTACCGATGGAGGGCAGGTGGTTGTCAGAATGTAGTGATCGACTCGGCGCCGAGCAACTTCGCCTGTGAAAACTTCACGGATGGAAGACATGTCCTGTTCAAAAAAGTGATATCGTCCAAACGCCGCGCACATTTCTCTTAAAAGTTGCTGCAACATCTTCACGGATGGAGGGCGGGTCGTATCTAAAACGTGGCTCGCCCTAGCGCCGCGCACATTCGTCTTGAATGCTTGCAACGTGTTCAAGGATGGAGGGCGGTTCAAAACATGATTTTCGCCTCAGCGCCGCGCACAAAAAAGTGTGCAACAAGTTCAAGATGTGTATGGCGGAAGTCCCAAGCCAAGAATGGCGTGCTGGCGATACTTCAGATTGTCAGGACGCAACTGTCACGTCGATTCGCGGCGCTGGAGTCAAAGGACTGCCAGGACGCATCAGTGACGTTGATCCTCGGAATTGAAGTCCCAGGGAAGATGCGTCGGCACGACTAAGGACTCTCGAGTGGTTCTCTTGAAATGGGCCACTTCCCGCAATGCTAGTTTATAGTAGGAGACTATGGCAAAACTACGCAAAGAGGTGTATGGCAGCATCGTTAATGCGTTTTGGGTTTCAACGGCTCTCCGCCATGTACTCGTGTCCGTTTCCTCCTCCTCCGCCTCCAGCTCCTCCTGTTCGTCCTCTTCTTCCTCCGCCTCCTCCTCGTATTCATCCTCTTCCTCTTCCCCTTCCTCCTCCACCTCCTCCGGCTCCTTCTCCTCCTGCTTCCCCGAGGCACCCAAGACGCTCCAAGAAGCTCACGGGACCGCCAGAGGCCCCCAAGACGCCCCAAGAGCACTCCAAGAATATCCCAAGAGACGTCCGAAGAGGCTCAGATAAGCATCCAAGAGGCCTCTGGCCTTCCTGCTCGCACTCCTTCTCCTACTCCTCCTTCACCTCCTCCTCGTCCTCATCATCATCCTCATCCTCATCATCCTCATCCTCATCCTCATCCTCATCCTCATCCTCATCCACATCCTCATCCTCATCCTCATCCTCATCCTCATCCTCTTCCTCCCTCCTCCCTCCTCCCCCTTCCCATCTAACTCCTCCTCCTCCTCCTCCGATTCTTTCTCCATCCTCCCCCTCTTGGGGTATGACGGCTTCCCCAGCCCCTTATTCCACTGCATGCTCCTCCTCAGCCCTGATCGGGGCAGCTCCCCTGGGCATCGTTTCTAGATTCTAGATGGGCTGGTGGGGTCACGCGAAGCGTCCAGAGAAAGAGAACGGGCGGGCGGCCTCAGGGTCTCGAAGACTGCGGCGCCGTCCTGCTTCTGCTCCTGGGCGTACTTCTGGTACGTCGCCGAGAGCTCCGTCAGCCTGGCCCGCAGGTCCGCGTTCAGCTGGCCGATGCGCTGCTCCAGGCTCTCCTTCCATTTCGGCAGCTCGGTGCAGACCTCGCGGACCTCCTGGAGGTTGGCGCCGTGCGCCTCGCAGGCGAGGAGCCGGTTCTGCACCTCCTCGAGGCGCATCACCGTCTGCCTGATCATCTGCGAGCTCAGCCCGCAATTCTTCTCCACCTCGCCCCTCACCTCGCCCAACTGCCGCTCCAGAAGAGTGGCGCGCCGGTCCCGCAGCTCCGCGTCTTCCACGATGCGGTCCTTCATGCTGCTTAGTGCTATATTGTAATTATGTGTGCCGCTGTTGTATGCTTGATTTGTTGTTTTGTCCGCGGTGCGGTCCTTGGCGGACGTCAGCTGCGACAGTGTGTCGGTGTGCGAGGCCGACATGTGCTCCCTGTGCTCCGCATGGTCGCTGCGGAGCTGGTCCAGCAAGCTCTCCAGACGCCCCACGCGCTGCTGCATCTCCTAGAGAACGGACAACTGGCGCACGCACAACTTTCGACCGTCCGCGCAGCATTCTTGGATCTGCGCTTGATTCCCCTCCCTGGCGCCCACAGCGCGCCACGGGCGGCGCCGAAGGCGCCAACAGGGGTGCGAAGTCCCCATGGGCGAGACGGCGTGGGCATCGAAAGGCACCATAAGCCTTTCAAGCACCAAAGGTGGGCACCATAGGCCTACCGCCACCAAAGCAGGTATACCGCATTTCCTCAATCCCGTGCGACTCCATTCAACATTCATTGACTTCCTCAACTTTGATGCTCAACCTCTCTCCAAGAAATCCGCGCAGACAGTCGAACGTGTACCAAGGGCACTCCGTGTGCGCACGGCGCCACATTCCGAATGGACCTGGGCCAAGTCTACAAAAACAAACGAACGCACCCGCAAAACACCGCGTCAATTAGCGAAGCCGACTGAGGACTGCACTGACACACTCGAACGACCATATGGAGTGAACCAGTGCAGATTTCCTGTCGACTTGTCCGGGTGGGCGTTCTCTCTTGGAGGCGGCCAGGGGGTCTGAACTGGATGGGGCCCCAGAAAGTCAATCAAGAGAGGAGGGCGAGGCCAAAAATCTGCTCAAAATCGGCCCCCCGATCCGTGGCTAACGGTTCCGGGGGCCCGAAAACGACCCCGGAGACCACAAAAGCCAGAAAATCCTCTGAACCCAGATACGCCACCGTGCCTCTGGGCACGGAGGGGAGCGCGTCCTCAGGTCCTTTGCCTGATCCTTTAAGCCTCAATCCTCATTCCTGGGGGGTCAGTGGGGGGCCTGGACCCAAATTTCGAACTCTCCTGGGGTTCCCGCGTGCTCCCTGGGTTCCAGGAAGTGGTGGCGCGTGAATTTGTTAGGCCCAAGAGGGCCCCGAGACGCGCCATCAGGGCCCCGTCCAAGAAGGCTCCGAGTCGCCGAACGATCGCTCCAAGACGCTCAAGACGGCCCCCAGACGGTCCAAGAGGCCTCCAAGACGCCACAAGCGGCCTCCAAGAGGCCTCCCCAGAGGGCCCCAGTAGACCCAAATCATTGATTTCCCGCAGGTTTTGGGAGGATTTTGGCGTTCTCGCCGTTTCGGCTTCCCGACGCTCGCTCCCAGACCCAAGAAGTCTCCAAGAGGGCCCCCCCAACAGCCCAAGAAGGCCCCAAGACGGCCCAAGGGTAGCCCAGAACGGCCCAAAGAGGGCGCGGCGCCGAGACGGCCCAAAAGGAACCCACGAGAGGGAACACGAACTGAAAATGCTAGCCTTCCGCCCGAAGAGGCTCCTATGGCCCCGTGACGGCCCGAGAGGCCTCCAGGACGGCCCCAAGAGGGCCCCAAGACGGCCCAAGCGGCCTCCAAGACGCCCAAGATGGCCTCCAAGACGGCCAAGATGGCCTCCAAGTTGGATTCCAGCGTGGGTCTGTTAGTATAGAGAGGGTCATGAAACAAACGTTGCGACACATATTCTGCGTATCTGTGCATATGCGGTCTGGCAAATCGGGGCGGCATCATCGCGACGCCAAGGGGCGTCGCGGACTCGAGCCTTTGGCCTGGAAGCACGAAACGCACGATTACCCATATCACGAAGTTCTGCAACCAGTCACTGTGTTCTGGGGGTGCACGGACACGCAAAACACTGTTCAGCTAATCGTTAGCTGGCGCCCGCCTCGAACTCATGCCCCACCCCCCGCCTCTTCCAAATATCCATTCGCTGTGGCCCCGCCCTCCTCATGCCCTCCGACTGCCCCGGTCCTCATCGTGCCCTTCATCCACACTGCTCCCCCCCATGTGCCAATTCACGTCGTTCCTCGTCGTCCTCCTGCGCTGGATTCGTTCCTCCATCGTCTACATGCCCGCCCTCCTCCCATCCTCTACGCCCTAATGCACATCATGCCCCCAACTTCTGCCCCCCCCCGCCTCCCTCGCCCTCGTGATGCTGACACCGATGATGCAGATCCTCCTGGGCTCATTTCCTCCGCTCTCGTCCAGTCCCGCTCATCCTTGGCCCCTCGGCCCCCCCCCATCGAACCCCTTCCTTCCCACAGCCCACCATCCACACACACCCGCGCCTTTGCATGCCCAGACCACGGCCCCCTCCTGGACCAGCCGGGAGACCCGCGGAAACTCCCGCCCATAGACCACTCCAGCGAACGGCGCGCAACAAATGCACAGTTGGAGACACGAACTGTGTATTTCGACCGCGCACGACGCTCCCCCTGGACCAGCCGGAAGAGAAACGCGAAAGTTCCCGCCCATTCAACACCACCCGCGAGGGGCACACTCCAAATACACAGATGGGAACGAGATCTGTGTACACAGATCACACCACGATCTGTGTAAACAGCGGGCCCACACACGAAAATACACAGTTGAAGACACAAACTGTGTACACAGATCACACCTTGATCTGTGTATTTCGAAAAGGTAAACGCTTGCCACCTCGAGGGCGCCCCGACTTTGCCAGCCCAGAACCGAGGTTGACATGCCCAGTTGGGGGGGAATGCGAATACACACTTTCCCGGCCCAGGGCGCCCCCGAGAGAACCGCAAATACACGCTTCTGTGGCCCAGGGCGGCCGCGGTGCAACGCGGCGCCAAAGCGGCCCCCAACGGCCCGAAGACGCCCCAAAAAGGCCTCGAAGGACCACGAAGAATGCCGCGCAGCAGTCCGAAAACACGAGAGATGTCACATGTCACGGACCTCTTAACAGTCAAAGTTCCACGCGTCGCCATATAGACCACTGCTCCGGCAGGGGGGCGGACCTTGCCGTAGGCACTTATAATTTACGTGTTAGCGATGCGACTGTGCTCGGCGGCCGTGCCGCCCGCATTTTGGGTGCGCCCCGAATTCTCGCATTGGCAATCCCCTCTGTTTGGTTGCGCCGCTGTGCTCGGATATCGAAAAAGCATTTACCGCTGACGCGGGCACGCGGCACCAGGGACTTCATTTTTCGAACAAGGAGGGCGGGCGAGGTAGGACTACGGACGGTGGAGCAGGGAGGCAAAGAGGAACGAGGAATAATAAGGCAGGTGGGAAGGGGCGCTCCCCCGCCCGAGCCGCGGACGCTTTCGACACCATCCAGGGGAGGGAAGAAAGGAAGGGAAACGGAGCAAGGGCGAGGACGACGACGGGAAGCAAGTGTCCCGGGTCCGCATATAACCATATGTCTGCGACTCGGGTGCGCGCGCTTTCTTCGAGGCACTTCAAGCCGGACCCATGCTGAATTCACTATTTCCTCAAAGCTGTGTAAACACTCTGTCCTCTGTTCCCTCTCCTATACAACGGCCTCATAACAGAGGGGCAGTGGATTCCAACCTCCAAGATGGCCTCCAAGATGCCTCCCAGATGGCCTCCAAGACGGCTCAGACGGCCCCAAGATGCCTCCAAGAAGATGGCCTCAATATTGTCTAAGACGGCCAAAAGGCCAGCAACAACAAAAACCAAAAAGAGTGATTGTCCGTAGGTTTTTGAAAGACTTCGACATTTGCTTCGTTTCGGCCTTCTGACGGCCCGATACGGCCCAAGAGCTCCCAAAGATCGCCCAAGGATCGCCCAAGAGGCCTCCAAGATGGCCCCAGAACGGCCCAAGAGGCCCCCATGACGGCCCAAGAGGCCTCCAAGACGCTCAAGATGGCCTCCAAGACGGCCCACGAGCCCTCCAAGACGTCCTCCAAGAAGGCCCGAAAGGGTCAAAATGGCCTCCAGGCGGCCAAGATGACCTTCAAGATGCCCACGTGTTCCCCGAAGGCTTTCCAAACCGATTCGGGGAACACATGGTCCGATAGCTTGGCAGGTCTGGCCTCAACGTTCGGCCACATAGGCGCTTCCACTAAGGGCAGGGGCCGGCGGTGATTCGACGCAGGCGTCTTCGATACTCTGACCTCGCCCCCACTTCCTGCTCGCTGGAACCAATGCTGGGCCACCTCAGACCCCCAGCCAGCTCCAATCTGGGTGGGCGTTCGCGCAAAGCCCGAATCTCCGCGTCGGGCCGGCTGGCCTCCGTCTGCGGGTTCTTGGACAGTCGCTCCACGAGGCTGCCGGAGATGGCCTTCAGCTGCTGCAGGGCCGCTACGTGCTGAGTGCTGTGCTCCTGGAACCGAGCCTCCAGCGCGCCCACCCTGTCCTTTTTGGGTGGCGCGCACAAGCTCCTCGTGTCCATCCTCCTCCTCCCCCGCCTCTTCGTGCTCTTCCTCCTCACTCCCCTCCACTCCTTTTCCTCTGTGCTAAGATCTCCGGTAACTGCGTACAGTATTTCTACTTCGCGCGCGCGGAGCGGCCTCGGGGGGTCCCTGGACGGCAAGTACCTGGGCGGTGCCCTGTCGGTTCGGGTCAGAGATCCCCGGACGGGTCGGGTCGGGTGGGCGCTGCCCTCGAGGCCCTCCAGAAAGCCTCAAGAAGGGCCAAGAGACCCTCAAGAAGCCCCCAAGATAGAACAAGAGGCCACAAGATCGCTGCAAGATGCCCAAGATTCCCCCCGGACGCCCGAAGAGGCTTCCAAGAGCGCTCCCAAGAAGTAAAATTACATGTTTTTAAGGTTTTGGACAGATTTGGGAGTTTCCCTCTTTTCGGCTTCCCGACGCCTCAAGACGGCCCAAGAGGTCTCCAAGATCGCCCCAAGAGGGTCCAAGAGAGCCCCCAGAGAGCCCCAAAACGGCCCAAGAGTGCTCCAGGGCCGCCCAAGACGACCCCAAGGCGGACCAAGAAGGCCCCAAGAACGCCACAAGAGAGGCCCCAGAGGGGGAACTCGAAACAACATGTCGAGCCCTCGGCCATAAGCAGCCCCCAGGAGGTCCCCAGAGGTCCCTAAGAGGCCCCAAAGGCCCCCAACAGGCGGTAAGGAGGCCCCCAAGAGGCGCCCAAAAGGCCCAAAAAGGCTCCAGGTTAATACGTCCCCGAAAGCCTCGGAGAACTCCCAGGAGCTTCCTGTGCACTGCCTCCCGGAGTGCGAAAATGGGCCGGCAGAATGAGCGAAGCGATTCAATAAAAAACTCCTCCCTGTCGCACCCCGAGGCCAGGCGGAATGGCGGGGCGGGAGTTTCGCCTGAGACTTCCTCGCCGTTTTGATCCTGAAACTAAGATATTGGCAACCGCTTCGCAGATGGAGGGCGGGCCGCTTCCCGAAGATGGTTTTCGCCTTCTCGCTGAACACATCTGTTCTCGAGATGTGCACGAGCTGCACGGATCGAGGGCGAGCCGGTTTGGAAATGCGGCTCGCCTCTTGGCGACGCACACGCTCTTCTTCAGCCATCTCCATGTTTCAACGGATTGAGGCCGGTTCCTTTTTAAAATGTGGCTCTCGCCTGGGCGCCGCGCAGATTCGTCTCAAGAAAGTGCACGAGCTTCACGGGTTCCCACGGTGACGTACGACAATTGGGCTGTTGAAACGGTTGAGGATTGCCAGGGCGCACCAGTTATGTAGATTCGCGGTGTTGACGTCTCAGGAATGGTGTACTGGCACGACTCGGGATCGCCAAGACGCAACAGTCAGGCTGATTCGTGGCGTTGCAGATCCGAGAACGGTGCTCTGGCACGCTTCAGGATCTCCCAACGGCTGCCTCCCAACGGGGCACTTCCCAGAGTGGAGATGGCCCCTTGGAGGGGCATAGGAAGAGGGTGATTGGAGCGAGGGTGCATTCCTACATCGTCGATGAGTCTCGGGTTTGCACTGGTCCTCCTCCTCCTCTGCCCGTCTTCCTCCTCCTGCTGCTCCTCCTGATCCTCCTCACCACTCAAGATCCTCACCATTCAAGATCCTTGAGCTGGAAATTCCAAACAACTCCCCGGATGGAGGGCGGACCGCTTTCAACATGTGGTTCCCGCTGTAGCGCCAGGCACATTCGATGTCATAATTTACAAGACGCTTCACAGGGAAACAAAAACACGGTGGGAAACACACACACACAAAAAACACACACACACAACCAACACACACACACAGTGTGTGTGTGTGTGAAACACACACACACACACACACACACACACACACACACACACACACACACACACACACACACACACACACACACACACACACACACACACACACACACACACACACACACACACACACACACACACACACACACACACAACACACACACACACACAACACACACACACACACAGTGTGTGTGTTTGTGTGTTTTTTCCCCACAGTGTGTGTGTGTGTGTGTGTGTTTTGTAGGATGTTGTCCCACAGTGTTTTTTCCCACAGATGGGGGGCGGGCGGTTTTCAAGATGTGGTCTTCGCGCTGGCGCCGCGCATGTTCGCCTCAAAGGTTTGCAGGGGCTTCACGAACCGAGGGCGGCACCTGTTCAAAATGTGGCTCTCGCCGTAGCGCTGGGCGCACCCGCTCAGACACACTGCAGGAGCTTCGCGGATGGAGAGCGGGCGGCTTTCAAAAGGTGATCCTCGCCTTAGCAACGCGCAGAGTCGTCCTAAAAGCTTCCAAGAGCTCCACTGATGGAGGGTGCTCCCTTTTTCACAATGTGGCTCTCGCCTTAGCGTCACTCCCGTTCGTCGTAATTGCAAATATCTGAAAGATTATTATAGTTAACGTCTCAGAAGCGGTTTTCTGGGATACTGTAGGACTGTCAGGGCGAAGCACTTACGTTGATTCGCGGTGGTGAAGTCCCACGAACGGTGTCCGTGCACGGCTCAAGATCGCCAGGACACAACAGTAGTGTTGATTCGCGGCGTTGAAGTCCCAACAATGGTCTTCTGGCACGGCTCAGAATGTTCAAGCGTGTGTCTTCAAACGGGAGCATTTCCGCAACATCGTTGATGAGTCATCATTTTACACTGGTCACCTCCTCCTCATCCTCCTCCTCCTCTTCGTCTTTCTTGTCCTCCCCCTACTCCCCCATGCTCCTCCTCCTCAACCTCCTCCTTCTCCTCTTCCTCCTCCTCCTCCTCCTCCTGCTCTTCCTCCCTGAGACTCGAGCGTCGCAAGTCTTTCACACCAGACGTTTCCGCCCTGTTTCGGGCTCCAGGGCCCTCACAAATCGATGCGGGCTACAGGAAGAGGGGGTCTGGGTCTCTGGTCGCGATGTCTGAAGCTGTTTTTCACTCTCAGGTGAGGGCGGACAGGGGGGGGATGTTGAAGGCGGGAGCCTTCTCCGAAGTCCTCCCGGCTCCTAGGAAGCCTTCTTAGCAAGCCCCCCTGGGCCCCTGCAAGAAGCGCACTACCTTCTAATCGGGGGCGGCCAAGAGGGGGGCGTCCAAGAGGGGGGGGGGCGCAAATCATGGCCAGCGGCACGTGCGCGGCCAAAGGGGGGCGCCAGGGACGTCATGAGATAAGAGGAGGCGCCATGAAATGTGGGGAAATATCATGGCCCACGCCACGATATCCACCCCCCCTAGTCATCACCCCCCTCTTTGCCGCCCCCGATCTGAGGACCATCGGGTGTTGCTAGAAGCGCCCTTGGCCCAAGGTGCCCCCAGCTTTTCGCTCCGTCTTGGAGCCCCTGGGGCTCTCAGGGCCTCGCGAGGGGGGTGCCCTGGACGCCGTCTGGGCCACCCCGAGAGTCCTGGGGGCACCCTGGGCCAGGGGCACTTCTAGCCTAGCAGCACCCGAAGGGAGCCCACCGCACTCTTGGGAGCCCGGCCCCCTCGCACCCTCCCCCTCGTGCGTTCGCGGGGCCCTCGCTGCAACTCTTGGGGGGGGGGCTCTTCGCTCTGGGTCAAACACCATCGGCTGTGCATCGGGCCCTCTAACTCACGCGGGCTGCTGTGTTGTTGTGCCCATAGGGTTGAGCCCGACGCGGCTTTCGCTTCAATTTCTCAGGGCGCCTGCCAGGGGCACCGAACAAGCAGCCCAGAAAGGCAGCGCGCAATCACATCAGGTCGGCTATAGGCGGCCCCATAGGCGAAGCCATGAACATGTAACGCGTGTCGGACGTCCTGCTCCAGCGCCACGATCTTGTTGCACAGGTCCATGGACGCCTTGTTGCGGTCTTCGCGCTCTCGGTCGACGTCGGCCCTGGCGGCCTGCTGCCCCTGCTTCAGGCACAGCACCTCCTGTGGGAGGACGCCAGACTTCGGTCGGGCATGTCCTCCCGCAGGCGGAACATGGTCAAAACATACCCCATGCTGATCAGAAGTAATGAAAAATTGCTACCGGATCATTTTTTAAAGTATGTTTGACGATTTCTCCTGTGGAGGGACATGCCCGACTTGATGCCACATATGCACCGACACCGATCCTGGCCAGGCTCATGCTGGGCCGAGGGCCGGTGCGTGCGCCCTCCTGGCTTGTGGGCAGGATGGCACATGCCAGAAGCTTGAAACATGGGCACCCACACCAACACCAAGGTTAGGTCGGGCCTGTCCCCTACAGGGGGATCTTGGACGGAACATTTATACATATTTCAAAAAGACTACAACAAAATGCCCCAAAATAGTCAAAAGATGGTCCCTAGACTATTTGTTTACTACTTTTGAATATTCCCCCTGTAGAGGGACAGGCCCTACTTAACACCAGGGGTTGCCTCCACTAGACGAGCGAGTTCCACGACTCGCAAAGTTACTACTCGCAAGTGGCCCGGATCCGCCGCGGGGGATCCACGATTTATTACGTCGAGGCGACCATGTGCTTTTCGGACGTTTGCGAGTGGGCGCTTTGCGAGTAGTGGAACGCGCTCGGTGATCCACGGGACGAAGATGATCCTGGGTTTTGGTGCTGGTGTTGATCTTTCGGCCACCCAGGAAGCCCGAAGACTACCACCATGCATCATCTTCCCTCGGTGGAAGCACACCGCCGATGTCGGTGCTGGTGCCAACCTCGAGGCCTCCGAATATGCACCTGTCCTGGGCCCAGGATCGGCGTGGCCACGGTCGGTGCCGGTGCACTGGTGCCCCCCAGTCCTGCTCGAGGCCCTGCAGGGCCTTGCGCAGGGACGCCATGTCCGCGCGCATGATCCTCACCTGCAGGTGCAGGGGGAACGACAAAGGGGAGAGGGGGGGACGGGCCCAGGAACGTCTGCACCCACCTCAGCTCGGCGATGCATCGCCGACAGATCGGCGGCAGGACCCGATGGCGAAACCGCGCGCTCCACGGCGGGCAGAAAGGGGCGTTCGGGTCCCGATCGGCGAGAACTGGGCGATGGGGGGGGCCGATGCTTCCCCCCCCTGGGCCACCCAGACTCTCGACGCCGTACTTCTCCTGCAACGCAGCTCCCCAGGAGGTCTGGACCTCTTCCCACGGACCAGCCTCACGTTCCGAGCCGTTTTTTGACGGCCCCGGGGCCCGGAGGCCCCGAGAGGAGAACGCTCTTTTTGCTCCCGGTCCCGGACGCCCGCCGCCCCCCCAGAGCAGCGCCACGATCCGTGTGGACGTCGGGAGTCTCTTCGGCTGCTCCTGGACAGGCGCCGGCGCGGAACGTGACCTTAGTGGGCCTGGAGGGCCCGAAGCGTCAGACAGCCTGGGCTCGGGCAGGCCCAGGCGACGAGTGCAGTGTCTCCTCGAGCCCTGAAGCGCGGAAGTCGGCTTGCAAGGCAATCCAAGAAGTCCCTGACGTTACCGGCCCCTCCCCGTCCCCATCCCCCCTCCCCGGTAACGTCCGCGACAAGTCATCGCCGGGGAATTCAAGAATACTCTCCAGGCCAAAGATAGCCGAAACAAAAACCTTCCGCCGCGATATTTTCTGAGGTAACCAAAAAGTACCGGTTCTGCGTCTCCCTGGATCTCTCCAGGGGTGCGTTGTGACCAGGATTTCGAGGCGAACCCAGCGGTGACGAAGATGGCCTGCCACGAGGCTCAACAAAAAGAAAACGAAGGAAGGGTAGTGGTACGGGTACCTTTTGCCACTCTGACCAAAGACGCTCTCGAGGTCGAAGATTTCCGAACAGAAACACCTCTCGCCACGATCTTTTTGGGGGAACCAAAAGTTACTGATACCGCTGCTCCCCAGACTTTTCCCAGGATGTTTGTGACCAGGATGTCGAAGCGAATACAACGGTGGTGACGAGGGCCTCGCGATGGGGTCAGATTCCAACCGGACGGTCCAAATCCCAACCAGACGACGGTCCACATTCGCACGGGTGAGAAAATCGGAACGGTCCAGATCCCAGCCGTCGGGCATAGCCATGGAATGCTTTGTTATGACATGGACGTCTTAGCAATGGAAACTGAAAGATTTCCCTTAAGGGAACTCATTCGGTGTTCATGATGCAGTTGGGATCTAGACTGCTCCATTGCGTTATTATTTGCGAGTTCTAAGTGGTCCAGGAGGGCCTTACATAGTCTCATGGCACTCCAAGACGGTAGTGTATACGAACGCATACGAGAAATACGATACTTGTATCAAGCGTAACCTCGGTCAACACTTAAGACCCCTCCCGGGGTATCGTTAGCACCGCACCGTAATCAAATAAGTGTTTGGGGCGGTTTTCGCGGAACGATATTATTAGCATCGCGCAAAGGAAAGGACAACAAAAAACCCGCGCCTTGGCTCGGGCGGTATCCCAATGGGAATCTGTAGGATTCCCCAATAGGACTCTACCAATAGGACTCCTCCAATAGGACTCTCCCACAGGACTCCCCCATAGGACTCCCCCACAGCAGACTCGTCTGCGTTCAGAGCAGGTTCTGAGGATGTCTCAGGCGAGGCGCTTGTTTCAGAACCACACGGAGGCCAAATTGCGAGAATGTTTCGGGCGGTTTGCTTGTTCCGGCGGGCAGACTCGTCGGCGTCCAAAGCAGGTTGCGAGGTGCTAGGGTTTTCCAGGGTGCTGGAGCGTTATACTTTCGCCGGAGAGCGGGGAGGGGGCTTTCTTAATTGCCTCTCAGGGTTATACGAAAAGTAGGGGACATCTATCCGACACTTACCAAAGACGCATACGAAACGTACGCGGGACGTTGCAGAAACGCATGCGAAACGTATCCCCGACGTACACGAAACGTACACCCAGCGCCTATAACACGCTTATGGCACGTCTATGACACGTCTATGACGGAAAACACCGGTATAGACCCCTCGGGAATCTTCACACATCCTCGAATAATCATTCAGGACCCCCATCAGGGATCCTCTGGAATCCCTGACAAATCCCTCGGGACTCCTTCGGGGATCCGCCAGAATCTTCAGGACTGCTTGGAAATCCTTGAGGGATCCATCAAAACGTTTTAAACGAATCCTCGGGAATCCCTCAGAAATCCCTCAGGAACCTTTCCGGAATCCTCAGGATTCCCAAGGGAACCGTCAGAAATCCTTGAATCCTCAGGAACCCTTCGAAAACCCTTAGGCATCGCTCAGACATCCAAAGGGAATGCTCAGGAATCCAACAATTAGAATACCATAAGGAATTCTCGAGCCCTCACGCCCAGCACACAATCTGCTGGTCAGAACCAGCGCTGGGCCACCTCAGCTCCCCCCCCCTAGCCGGCTCCGACCGAGAACGCCCGTCACCCCCGTCCTGTCGCTGGCCCCTGGCTTTAGTTCGGGCATGTCCCCCTACAGGGGGATCTTAGACGAAAGTGAAAAATGTCAAAACAATGATCAAATATATACGAAAATGTACAAAAAAACAGTGTCCCCAGACTATTTGCATCATTTTTGACTATTCCTCCTGTAGAGGGACAGGCCCGACTTAACCCTGGCTCGGCGGCGCGCCATGGGGGGGGACGTGAGAGCGAGCAGGCCTCCGCAGAAGGCCACGGGGCTCCTCAGAAGCCCTCGGGGCCTTCTGACCAGTATCCTGAGCCTGCTCCGAAGACAGATACGTTACGAGGACAATCCTGGAGGCCTCGCGCGGCAACTGGAGACCGGATGTACGTCGGACCCACGTCGGATCCACGTCGGATCCAGGTCGGGTTCACGTCGGACCACGTCGGAATTACGTCGGATTTACGTCGGACCGACTCTGGAGCATCGCTGCGCGATCATCGACCCATAGCTTGCGGAGCGGATGTTTAGACAATACTACTATGACGCGCCGCGCGAGGCCTCCAGGATTTTCCTCATAAGCTACGGCCTCGCAGAACGCACTAGGGCATCTGAGAAACCCCGCCGCCTTCTGAGAAGGCCTGCCCCCATCTCACCTCCCCCCTGGGCTCGCCGCCGACCTCTGCCGCTGCTAAAGGGGCCCAAGGACACACACACACACACATATATATATATGTGTGTGTATACACACAAATCCCAGGATCCCCCATATTATCTTAATTTTCAGGGTATTCGCCTTCCCTCCACTTCCCATATTCTCCCGCATCTTAGTGGGAATCGACGATTACTTGTGTCTGTGTTTTTAGGTGTACCTTTTCCTGCACGTCCCGTTCGGCACCGCCTGATCCCCGGGCTTCGCCCGCCCCTGGCCGCATGAGGCCCCGCCTTCTCCCGCCCTTTCTCTGCCAATGAAAGCTGTGCGCGTCCCGCGTAGCTTCTAGCGGAAGAGGCTCGCTCTCGCCCTGCAGATCAAAAAGTCTGTGTGTTTCTGCCCCTCCCGAGGTGCCCCTGACCACCTGGGGCTCCAGCTGCGTCTGCGCGTCCCCGCCCGGCGACGCCGGCCGCACCGACGGCGAGACCGAGCGGCCCGGGCCCGCGTCGGAGGCCGCGCGGAGGAACGGCGAGCCGGGGCCTCGCGCGGCGGCGACCGCCGCACACCGCCGCAGAACGCCATCGCCGTCGTCGTCGACCGATCGACTCCAACTCCGACTCCGACTCCGACTCCGACTGCTCCTCCTCCTCCTCCTCCTCCTTCTCCTTTTCATTATTATCATCATCATCATCATCATCAGCATCATCATCATTACCAGCATCATCATACTAATCATCATCATCATCATCTTCATCAGCATCAGCATCAGCATCAGCATCATCATGATCCTCCTCCTCCTCCTCCTCCTCATCATCATCATCCTCATCCTCATCCTCATCGTCATCGTCATCCTCATCCTCATCCTCATCATCATCACCATCACCATCACCATCATCATCATCAAACTTTGTACCAGCATCACCATCATCATCGGCATCATCATCGTCATCATCATCATCATCATCGTCATCATCAATGTCAGCATCATTATCATCGTCATCATCGTCATCGTCATCATCATCATCATCATCATCATCATCATCATCATCATCATCACAATCATCATCATGACCTTCATAACGATCATCACCAGCGTCAGCATCAGAATTCGCCGGCCCAACGGGCCAGGGCGTGCTAAGATCTCCGGTAACTGGTTAACAGTATTAACAGTATTTCTAGTTCGCGCGCGCGGGGCGGCCCCTGGGGGTCCCCCGGCGAAAAGTACCCCGACCAACGCCCGGTCGCCGCCCGACCGCCGCCCGACCGCCGCCCGACCAAGTCTACTCAGAGATGGTTTTCCTTCTGGGTGCGGCCTCTCAGGCTCCCCAGAGCGCGCTCAGAGTGCCCCAAGAGGCCCCCAAGACTGCCCAAGAGGCCCCCGAGACGCCCAAAGAGCGCTCGAAGACGCCGAAGATGACCCCAAGACGGCCCAAAAGGCCCCCAAGACAGCCCAAGAGGCCTCCAAGACGCCCCAAGAGCCTTCCAAGAGGCCTCCGAAGAGAGCCCCAAGAGGCCAAAATCGTTGATTTTCATTGGTTTTTTCGATGTTTTTTGTGTTCTGGCTTTTTCGGCTTCCGGACGCTCCAAGACGGCCCAAGAGGCCCCCAAGACCGCTCCAAGACGGCCCACGAAGCTCCCAAGACGGCGCCGAAACGACCCAAGAGAGCCCTCAAGACGGCCCAAGTGCCGCCCAAGACGGACCAAGAGGCCCCAAGACGGGCCCAAGAGGGACTCAGGAGGGATACCGAGAACTCAAAAATGGAGCCCTCCGTCCCAGAAGGCGCCCAGGAGGTCCCAAAGAGGCCCCAAGAGGCCTCCAAGAGGCCCCAAGATGTCGCCAAGAGGCCCCAGGAGACTCCCAGGAGGCCCAAAAGAAGCCCCAGAAGGCTTCAAACATGTCTCCCAGGCGCCCCCGAACGGCCTCTCAACAGACCCCAAGAGGCCCCCCAAAGAAGCATCTTGACGACGACTCTATTTCGCCCCATCGAGAGACGACCCCCAGGGAACTGCTTCACCATCAAAACTCCCCACGCAACGCGTCCGAACGACACCCGCCCCCAAGAGCGCAACCTGGGCAACGAACACACAGACAAAAACCAGCGATGCCATATCACGGGCCGGCGGAATGAGCGAAGCGATTCAATAAGCATCGCCATTATCATAATCATCAGCAGCAGCATCAGCATCAGCATCAGCATCAGCATAATTATCGTCATCGTCAGTACCATCATCAGCATCAACAGTATCATTATCACTATCATTAACATCATCATCACAATCACCGTCATCATCGTGATCATTGTGACCATCAGCATCGCATGAATCGTCATCAGCAGCATCATCATGATCATCAAAATCATTATCATCACCACCACCATCAGTATCATCATCATCCTCATCCTTATCATCATCAACATCATGATCACCATCATCATCAACATCACCGACAGCAGCTACATCGCCATAATCGTCAGCATCATCATCATCGCCGTCATCGTCGTCATCGTCGTCATCATCAGCATCATCACCGTCAGCATCAGCACTACCATCATCATCATACTCACCATCATCATCACCATCATCACCAACAGCATCATCATCACCACCACAACCATCATCCTCATATTCAACCTCATCCCCATCCTCATCCGCATCCTCCTCCTCCTCATCCTCCTCATCCTCCTCATCATCAGCGTCATCACTACCACCACCACCATCATGCTCATCCTCCACCTCCTCATCCTCCTCATCATCCGCATCAGCATCAGCATCAGTAGTATCACCATCATTATCATCATCATCATCAGCAACAACATCATCTTTTCTTGCACCAGCATCACCATCATCATCATCGTCATCATCATCAGCATCATCATCATCAGCATCATCATCATCATCAGCATCATCATCTTCATCATAATCATCAAAATCATCATCATGACTATCACCATCACAATCACCATCACCATCATCATCTCTCACCCTCCTCCTCCTAATCCTCATCCTCATCCTCATCACCGTCATCATTATCATCATCATCATCATGATCATCATCATCATCATCATCATCATCATCATCATCATCATCATCATCATCATCATCATCATCATCATCATCATCATCATTCATCATCATTCATCATCAGCATCAGCATCAGCATCAGCATCATCGTCGATTGTCGGAACCCCTCCCTCCTCCTCCTCCTCCTCCTCCTCCTCCTCGTCCTCCTCCTCCTCCTCCTCCTCCCCTCTCTCCCTCCCTCCTTCCCTCCCTCCCTCCTGGTCCTCCTACTCAGCCTCTGCCACCTCTCCTCATGCTTGGAGCTCATCCTTTCCCTCTTCCTCCTCCTCCTCCTCCTCTCCTCCCGCTCCTCCGACGGTTCCGACTCCGACTCATCCTCTGACAACGGCGGCGGACAGGTCGAGGAACAAGAAGACTATGACGACGACGACGCCGGCGACGGTGCGGCGGCGGCGGCGGCGGCGGCAGCGGCGACGACGACGACGACGACGACGACGACGACGACGACGGCGGCCGCGCGCCCGAGGCGCCCCACGCCGGCGACGGCGCGCCCCACGGCGGCGAGGCGGCGCCCGGCGGCGAGGCGCCCGGCTCTGGTGGGCGCGGCCACGCGTCCGCCTGGCGCGGGCGGCGGCGCCTACTCTAGGTGTCTTAATAAGCGCGGGCGGGTACCCCTCTGACGGGGGGGTCAACCTCGTCTCGTCGTCGCGCCGCGACGGGGGTCGGAGCGCCTTCGGCGCGCGGCGCCTGCCCGCGACGGGGATCGATGTGGGGTTGTCGGCGGGGGTGACGCCCCCCCCGACGCTTATCAAGAAACTCGGAATGCCGTGCAAGGATGGGCGGCTGCTCCTCTTTGAATTCGTGCCCTCGCTGGTGACTTCCCGAAGCCTGGGCACAAAGCCCCCGAGCCCGCGGCAGGGCTCCCTGTGACCCTCAGCGTTCCACCCGGGCGGCCGCCCTGGTGGCGGCTCCTGGCGCACGAGGAGGGGGCCTGGGAGTAGGGGGTGTAGTGCAGTACTAGCGATGTGTGTGTGTGTGTGCGTGCGCTTGGCTCTCGATGGTCACCCCCATCCTCCCCCTCATCTCCTCCCCTGTCAATTCATCCCTCATCACCATCACCATCACCATCACCATCACCATCATCATCATCATCAGCATCATCATCATCATCATCATCACCACCACCACCACCATCATCATCATCATCATCATCATCATCATGATCATGATCATGATCATGATCATGATCATGATCATCCTCATCATCCTCATCATCCTCATCATCCTCATCATCCTCATCATCATCATCATCATCATCATCATCATCATCATCGTCATCATCATCATCATCATATCATTAGCATCATCATCACCAGCATGACATCGTCAGCATTATCAGCATCATCAGCATCAGCATCATCAGCATCATCACCAGCAGCATCATCACCAGCAGCGGCATCATCAGCAGCATCATCATCAGCATCAGCATCAGCATCAGCATCAGCATCATCATCATCATAATCAATAGCATCATCATCATGATCAACAGTATCATCATCATAATCATCATCATCATCATCATCATCATCATCACCATCACCATCACCATCACCATCACTATCAACATCATAATCATCATGATCATCATCAGTATCACCATCATCAGCATCATCGTGTTCATATTCATGTTCATCATCATCATCCCCGTCCTATTGTTCCCCCTTCTCCCCCTTCTCCTTCAGGAGCGACAGGGCAGGGGGAGGCCTACTGCTTCTGCTCCTCCCTCCTCCTCCTCCTCCGACTCCTCCTGTCCTCCCTCCTCCTCATCCTCCCCCTTTCCTCCTCCCTCCTGCCCTGCAAACCCCATCCCCTCCCTCACCTGCCTCTTCGTCCTACTCGGTCACGCGCACCATTCCACCCTGGGGACTCTTCCTCCCTCCTCCTTCTCCGCCGATGCCGACGGCGAAGACGGCGATGGCGGAGGCGGCGGCGACGACAACGGCGACAACAACGGCGAACATATCAGCGACGACGATGGAATTCGTGAAAGGAAGATGCGGTAAGAGCGGGAGGTGGAGGGACACCACGGTGGGCGGGCCGTGGACGAAAAGAGCATCGCCTTCCAGGCTGGACTCTGGGCCACCAGGGGCTGCGTCTACAACCCTGCAAACCCACCCACCCCTGGGAGAAGTGGAGGTGAAGGAGGAGGAGGAGGAGACGTGGATGGAGTGAAGGATGAGGAGGAGGTGAAGGAGGAGGAGGAGGAGGAGGAGGAGGAGGAGGAGGCGGAGAAGGAGGAGGAGGCGGAGGAGGAGGAGGAGGAGGAGCAGCAGCAGCAGCAGGAGAAAGAGGGGAGGAGCAGAAGCAGTAGGCCTCCCCCGGCCTTGTCGCTCCCTCCTCCTCGCGGATCCCCCGAGGAGAGCCCGCGCCTCCATCTGTCGACGCCGCTGGGGAGCGCACGGGAGCGCTGCGCGGGGGGGGGGGGGGAGCCAGGCCGCCGCCGGCCGGCTGGGGGCGGCGGGGTGTTCGAGCAGCCTCGGCGGCGAACGGCGGGAGGAGCGACGAGGCCGGGCTACGACAGCGCAGGAAGGCGCCCGGCCCACGTTTCGCCGAGAGCGAGGAGCGGCAATGGAGGCAGCCGCCACTGTCCACCGCCCGCGAGATCGCTATCCTCCATGGCCACTGCGAAGCTGTGGCCAGGAAGGCACGAGTGGGAGGAGGGGGGGGAGGAGCGATGAGGACGGAAAACGAGGGAGGAGGGAGGAGGAAACCGAGAGAGGAGGAGAGGAGGAAAACGAGGACAGAGAGCACGAGGGAGGAGGCGTGGGAAGGAAAACCAGGCGAAAAAAAAGGTGGGAGTGTTGACGACTGGTGCCTCGAACGGACATCTGGGGAGGGCCCGCGTCGCCACTGCCTTTTTCCCTTGAAATCATGGTCGGAACGCGATCCAGGAGGGGTTCGGAGGAGGAGGTAGGTAGGATAGGGGCCCGAATAGCGAGGTGGAGGGGGAGAACGATTGTAGTACATCTCAACCCAACGTCTTCACTTAGAGGTACTTGCGTGGTTTGTCACAATGATGCTGCCAACTCCCACCCGTGGGCGCCCCTTGCCTTGGCTGCGTCCGCCGAGGCTCCTGTCCCAACGGCGAGCACACATCGGGCGTAGCGACCGCGCGCAGTTGGATGCACACGCTTCGTCCTCGTACTACTACTCGCGGGCCGCCCGCACGGTGTGTGCGTTGACGGCGTCCTGGTCGTACCAAGGGCACACATAGGTTGCGCCCTCAACCGCCGAGAATAAAATCGTTTCCTATCAACTGCGCCAAAAGCTGCGCCCCCGGCAAGCGAGAATAACACCGTCTCCTACTGGTTGCGCCAAGGTTGCGCCCTCGGCCGCCGACAATAAAACCATCTCCTACTAGTTGCGCCATAGATTGCGCCCTCTGGGGCCGCGAATTTGTTCCTCAGTTGCCTGAGTGCGCGCAGCGCGCACGTCCAGCTCCTGCGTCGCAGGCCGCACGGCGGCCCTGTTGGCCGCCTCTGGAATCGCCGCAAACGGCGGCACCTCAACAGGGCAGAGCGGCTGCGACGCAGCTGCGTCGCGGGCGGCAGCCCAGTAGAAGTGGAGCCCGCCGCGACGCCGTCACGCCAGTGGCCTCCCAGACGGAGCCACTCCCCACATGATCTTCTCGGCCTTCCTCCTGCGCTCCGTCGTCTCCTATTAGTTGCGCAATGAGTTGCGCCCTCTGCGGCCGAACATAAACTTGTCTCCTGTTGGTTGTGCCATCGAAGGCCGATAACTAATACAACCGCCCCCTATAGGTTGCGCCATCGGTTGAGCCCTCGGCCGCCGAGAATAAGACCGTCTCCTAGCAATTGCGCCATACATTGCGCCCTTGGCCGCCAATAATAATAATAATAATAATATATATACATATATTAAAACAATGTTTCCTGCCGGTTGCGCCATAGATTGGGTCCTCTGCGGCCGAGAATAGAACCGTCTCCTATCCGTTGCGCCATACGTTGGGTCCTCCGCGGCCGACCATAAAGCCGTCTCCTATCGGTTGCGCCACAGGTTGCGCCCTCGAGGGCCGAGAATGGAACCGTCTCCTATCGGTTGCGTAATAAACTGCGCCCTCGGCGGCCGAGAATAAAACCGCCTCCTATTGGTTGCACCATAAATTGCGCCCTCGGCCGGCGAGAATAACACCGTCTCCTAGCGGTTGCGGCGGCCCAGAATAAAACCGTCTCCTATCGGTTGCGCCATAGTTTGCGCCTTCGGCCGCCGAGAATAGCACCGTTTCCTAGCGGTCGCGCCATAGGTTGCGCCCTCGGCGGCCGAGAATAAAACCATCTCCTGTCGGTTGCGCCGTAGGTTGCGCCCTCGGCGGCCGTGAATTTTCCTCAGCAGCCTGAGTGCGCGCAGCGCGCACGTCCAGCTCCTGCGTCGCAGGCCGCACGGCGGCCCTGTTGGCCGCCTCTGGAGTCGCCGCAAACGGCGGCAACTCAACAGGGCAGAGCGGCTGCGACGCGGCTGCGTCGCGGGCGGCAGCTCGGTAGAAGCGGACCCCGCCGCGACGCCGTCGCGCCAGTGGCCTCCCAGACGGAGCCACTCCCCTCATGATCTTCTCGGCCTTCCTCCTGCGCCCCGCCTGGGCGCTGGGCTTGAGCGCAGGGGCGCAGGCCAGGCCGAGCCCCCTGTGCTTGCCCTTCACCTCCTTCGCGTACTGGAAGCACTTGAGGCATATTCGGTACCCGAAGTGCGTGCGCAGGTCGTGTCCGCCTCCGTCCACGTCGGGCGCGCCAGAGCCGCTGGGCGGCGGCGCAGCAGGCTGGGCCTTGGCCCCCCCGTGGCCTGCCGTCGGCGGTTCCTCGTCAGCGCGCAGGCCACCGTCACCGACGGATCCCAGACCCTGGCTCGCGCCACGATGCTGAAAGGAAGAGGGGCCCGCCGACGGCTGCTCCTCGTCAGCGCGCAGGTCACCGTCACCGACGGATCCCAGAATCTGGCTTTCGCCACGATGCTGACCGCCCTCGCCAGCACGCAGGTCACCGTCACCGACGGATCCCAGTAGTATCTGGCTTTCGCCACGATGCTGAACGAAGGAGGAGCTCGCCTCGCAGCTGCGTGCCTCCCCGCTTGCGTGAGCGGGCTGGCTCTCGTCCTCCACGAAGCGGCGGGCTGCTGCGACCGCCACCGCGGCGGCTCCAGCGTGCACCATGGCAGAGGCTCTCGACCGCTTCTTGCCCCCGCTGGTGTAGGCGCAGCTCTGCCTTGGGAGGTCCTTGGTCGAGATGTCAGTGAAGGCCGACCGCAGGCAGCGTAGGCAGCGGAGCGCCTGGACTCCCTCTGCTCCGCCCTTGATCTTGACAAGCTCGTGCTTGGTGGTGTAGAGCCTGGGGCCCTTGGGCTCAGGCCCCCCGTGCTTGTCACGAAAGTCGATCCTGAGGTCAGCAGCTTCGGCGCCTGCCTGCGACGCCCAGAAGACCGCGCCGTCCAAGGTGAGAGCCCTTGTCCTCCTGGCCTCGCGCGCCTGCAGCGGCGCCCTGAAGTGCTCCGCGACGAACTTCGCCGCTCGGTCAGCTTCGTAGTTGCCTCGCCGCCTGCGGAGAGTGATCTTGCCCTCGTCCACCCCCTTGCAGGTCGCGTGGCCCTTGACCTTCCGCACCGCGAGGCCGTCGCTGCTGAGATCGACGAAGTCGCCCAGCGCGTGCCAAATCCTGCGCCAGATCTCTCCCCAGGCGGACTTATGCGAGGCAGTGGCCTCGCGCCCTCTCTCCGCCAATCCTTTGGCCACGCACTCGGCGTCGAAGTTGGCGGCGATGGGAGGAAGCGAGTGCCTGAGGATCGCGTAGAGCGCGAGCAACTCTGCGCCGTCGATTGACTGGGTTGGCCCCGGCACAGGGGCGCCCATGGCCTTCACGCACGATCCTATGCCTGGGTCCTCTCCTTCTGGCCCAGGCGGCAACTCGACTACTGCGCGCCCTGCCATTGCCAAAGAAGTGCCAGCCTCGAAACAGCAGCCGTCGGCGAACAGCTCGGTGTTGATGCGCGGGTCGGTGCCCCCTTTGAGCCAGCGCAGCCCCTGAGGCAGGTCGCCCTGGGGGGGGCGCCAGATGTGGCTGGGCTCGGGCAGCAGGAGCCGCTCGAAAAGCGTCTTGATCGCGATGCTGGACTCGAACTGCTTGAACTTCCCCAGCTCCTCGGGCAGCTCGAAACTGGGCCAGCTGTCACGGCGCCCCAGGTGGCGGTGCCACAAGGTGCCCAGAGAGTTCGGGCGCAGCTCGCAGTGTGGTGAAGGAGCGAGCCTCGGCGCTGCCTCAAACCTTCGCTGGTTGAGCCGCTGGCCGTGCACCAGCAGCGACCTCGCGCAACCCCTCTGCTTGTCGTCCAGGGGTTTCCACCTGCGGCCCTCGGCGGTGGAGGCTCTGCCTGTGCTGAGCCACCTGCGCACCTGTGGGGCGAAGGCGCCGTTGGCGATGCCCTCGCGCGCGTCCGCCGCTAGCTGCCGCAGCTGCCGGGCCTGCGCGCCCTTGCGCATACCCTTCTTGATGCACCAGGGGGAAGAGCTTGCGATGTCGATGGTCTCGCGGGTGCTGTGCCTGAGCCACTGCTCGAAGCTGCGCGCGTCGTAGCCGACTCGCGTGAGCGTCAAGACTGCCGCCGAGATAGGCCCTCGGACCTCGCTCCAGCTGCGAACGCGCCTCGCGAAGCCATCGAAGGTCGACTTAAGCGCTCCTGCGGGAACCCAGCCTTCCCAGAACGCGCGTGCAAGGGCGCAGACACGCGCCAAGGTTGCGCCGTACATCGGGTCGATCTCGCCCGGCCCGCCGAAGACGAGGCAGCCAGTTGTGGACTTGCCCTGCGGCCTCGGCTCGATCGCCTTGACGACTGGCGCCCTGGTGTGCTTGAGCTCGCTGTCCGACATCCCAGTGCACGAGACGCCGTACATGATGCTGGGCATGAGGCCTGCGAAGGCGACCTTAGCCGCGGCTGCTCGGCCTCGCCGAAGCCCCAGCAGTCGTTTGATGCGAGGGAGCCTCGCCTCGGCGTTGGCCGCGCGCAGCTTACGCACCGCGCTGGCCCGCCGCCCTCCTTCAGCGTGGTCGACTCCAAGGTTGCGCACGCTCGCCACTGCAACAGCTCCGCAAGCCTTGATGAGCTTGGCCTGGAGTCCCTTCCTCAGTTGGCGCTGCTAGCGAGGATCCTGGACTTCTTTGTAGCGACCTTGAGCTTCACCTTGCTGAGCTCATTGACCAGGAGCTTGGTGCTGCCAATCAGGTCCTTCTCAACTTTGCTGGTGCCTCCCCAGCGCTGCATCACGAAGTGGTCCACGACCACTGCGGGAACCACCGCGTGGTGCTTGGTCACCATCGTATCCAAAGGCGTGACACCTGCCAGCACCGTTTGCATCACAACCAGTTCATCCGAG